TGAGGAGACCCTACAGTCCCTGAGACCACACTATAATCCCTGAGGAGACCCTACAGTCCCTGAGACCACACTATAATCCCTGAGGAGACCCTACAGTCCCTGAAAGGTTCTGAAACTACAGATAAAATCTTCTCATCTGAACTCTAATTTCAGAGGTTTAAGGATCAGAACCTCCAGACGGGTCTGGGTCTTGGGAGGTGTTGTGTGTCCTTACCGCCGGGCCGTCCGTGGTGGTGTACCGGACCGTGATCTGGACCAGCCTGCCGGGTTTCACGGCCTCGGTGGGCAGGCTGATGCTGAGGGAGGAGCCGTAGTCTGTGAACGGATCCAGCCGGTACGTGAGGGACACGGGATCCTTCGGACCCTCCTCAGGGACCTTACAGTCTATGGAGTGGATCAACAGGGACGGGTGGGAGTCCAGGACCAGCGTGAAAACCGACGGGTGGACCGGGACTAGGTCCAGAACCAGCCAGCCGCTCATCTCTTTCACTGCAAAGTTCAGGCGCAGGTCCAGGTGGAAGTGGGTCAGCTTGAAGAACCTGAAGTTTGAGGCCGAGGCCACGTCCACCAGGGGACAGCGCGGGACCTGGGACCCCTGGACCGCCGGGGGCCGGCCAGAGGCCCCGGCAAACCGGCCCCCAGAGACCGGCAGGGATTTACGGCAGCAGCACAGGGAGGTGGGGGCCTGGTGGAGTTCTGCCATGGTGACCTAAACCAGGGTCTGGACCCGGTTCAGATCCGGATCAACACCATCAACCCAAATCAAAGAAGTCTTTAAAGTCCCAGACCCATGTGGACCAGGGTCACCAGGTCTGACTGCATTCAGGACCTGTTAGAGTCCAAACCCAGATCAGAATGTGAAGGTTTMAAACCTGGACTGGATTCTGGTTCCCAATAAACCCAGTACTGGTACTGGTCCAGTTTAAGGAGGACCACCTGGACCACTAAAGTCTAGTTTAAACAAAMCTGATTTAAAAAATTCGGACTGAGTTGAACCCAGTTCTGGTGGAACCCGGATTAACTCTGGACCGGTTCACTGAGAATGTGGGACAGAACCAGAATTATTTAGATCCTGGGTCCGGGTCCAGACCAGACCTGAGAGGAACTTCGCCTTTAAATAAACTGAAACCAGATCAGATCCAAATCCAGGTCCAACTGGGTCAGACCCACAGACAAACACCTGAAGGACATTCAGAACATTTACGAACTGAGCAGAACCGGGTCGAGCCCCACTCGGTCCAGAACCGGAGTCAGTTTATAAAGCAGGCACTTCATGTCGGAGTTAGAGGTCAAAGAGGTTCTGGTTCTGGTTGAACTACCTGACCCGGTTACTGATCAGCAGACAGATGAACCCGCCTCAGACCCGCAGAGTCTTACCGGACCTTCACGACCGGTTTATGTAAAATCCATCAGGACCAGACCGACACCGGCTCCTCCTGTGGGCTCAGCCCGGCTCCCCTGCTCTGCGTCCGGGTCACTGAGTGCCGCAGCTCCCGGTGGACCGGTGACGACCGGACCGGGGACTGGACCGACAGTCCGGGTCCAGAACCGAGTGTCCGGGGAACAAAGGGACGGAGACACCGCCGAAAGACCGAGGAGTCTCCGGACAAAACAGGAAGTAACAGCGGCAAGAAAGTTTCAGCAGGCCGGTGGGGGGCGCTGTGGAGGCGGGGCTTGCTGGCCGGTGGGGGSCGCTGTGGAGGCGGGGCTTGCTGGCCGGTGGGGGGCGCTGTGGAGGCGGGGCTTGCTGGCCKGTGGGGGGCGCTGTGGAGGCGGGGCTTGCTGGCCKGTGGGGGGCGCTGTGGAGGCGGGGCTTGCTGGCCGGTGGGGGACGCTGTAGAAGCGGGGACTAATGAGTTGTTGTCCAGGAGCGTCTGTACCAGTTTGTTAGTAAAATATCTCATGAATCACAGGACAGATTTTAATGAAACTTTCACAAACTAATCAATGGATGTTTGTCTACAACTCATTAACTTTTGGAGTCACCCTGATTCAAGATGGCCGCCACAGGAAGCTAAACTTTGAAAATACAAAATGGCTCTAAATCAGTCAGTTCTACAGACCGTGCTAAAGTTTGGTTTGGTAGTAGCTGAGGCTGATACCCAGCACATAATCTGAATGCTAAAGTAACATACACAAGACCCTCATTTAAAACTTTGCTGGTATTTATTTGAAGTCAAACTTGTTTGTCTGTTAGCAAAATATCTGCAGAAACACAGGGTGGATTTTAATGAAACTTACAGGAAGGAACTGGATAACCCCTGGGGTTGACTGGATTCAAGATGGCCGCCACAGCTGTTATTAGAGAAACATAAATATAGCAACAGATCAGTTGTATTGACTTGAGCTGAATCTGTGGCAGGTGAACCTGATCCTGGTTCTGATCCTAGAACTGAAGTTTATAAACATGTGCCCCTAGAGACAATAAATCATTTTCACATTTAACACATTCGTACAATTCATCACAAGTCAGCATTTATTTAATATTGTATAAAAATATTACTTTTAATGTAAAATAGTTCGATATAAATTGGGATAATAATAATGTTTTGTGTTAAAAACTTTAACTCTTTTACAAACACGACACAAACAGACGTTTCATTTCTACGAGGCTTTTATCACAAAATCTAAAATTTACAAAGAAGAAAAATCACAAATTTTCAAAAAATGTACGTCTGAGCTCAGTGACGCATCTGTTGGTCATAAAGTGCAAATTACAAATAGCAGCTCATGCGTTCTCACAACAAACAAACAGTAAACAACATTCACATGGAGGCTCTGCTGCCCGCTGCACAACGCAGCTACTACAGTTTGATTATCACTGATCATACATTACATTAAAAACAAAACATCACATCAGTCCTGCAGCCTCTTAAATCTATTAAACACATATTAATCGGATTTACAGCCAGTTTCAGTCAGAACCTGTGCAGTTACCCTGTTTGTCCTCTAGAGGGTAGCACTCACTTTTACACCCCTGAAAGGCAAGGAAGTCCAAATGAAGGCAGAAAAGATCCACTTCTTATAAACTAAGAAGCTTTAGAAATGTCTTATTCACATTCTATAATAAAACATAACCAGACATGTATATTTGATGCACATAAAGAAGAAAAAAAGCATTATGTTTCAGGAAACAGGTGACTGGATACGTTTCTGTCGGAGGCCAAGGAGCTGAGTCTTATTTTTTATCAAACTAACACAAAATGAAACCATACGGTTGTTATGTAAACAACAATAAATATGAGAAACTCAATCAAATCAAAACTTTCAGATCATCTGTTGTTACTTTTTTACAAAGAGGAAACCACAGGTTTCATCCTTCACCTCTCATTTTTGTGGGCATCGGATCATGTGGTGCCAGGTCATCGAGTCCTCAGAACCAGTTCAGGAAGTAAAAATAAAACAGTAAAAATACAAATCAGCTGTTTACAAACCAGCTCTCATAAACACTTGAACAGAGAGAAATGTCGCCAAAAAGCAACAAGATGTTGTCAGAGATTTGACTCTGAGCGTCTACTGGTTTGCTGCATCTCCTGCAGCTTCAACATAGTTTTCATCTTCATCCTCATCCTCGCACTGAGATCTTACTCTCTGCAGCCGCCAGCATCGAATACAACCGAGAGTTTTCATTGGCCAGCAGCCTGGATGGCTCATCAAACTCCACCACCTGAACCAATCACAGACAGGAAAGGTTCAATGAGACCAGCTGTGTGAGACCAGACTGAGACCAGAGGTAGACCAGAGTTAGATCAGAGTTAGACCAGAGGTAGACCAGAGATAAACCAGAGATAGACAAAAGTTAGACCAGAGAAAGACCCGAGTTAGACCAGAGATAGACCCGAGTTAGACCAGAGATAGACCCGAGTTAGACCAGAGATAGACCAGATATAGAACAGAGGTAGACCAGAGTTAGACCAGAGGTAGACCAGAGATAGACCAGAGATAGACCCGAGTTAGACCAGAGGTAGACCAGATATAGACCAGAGGTAGACCAGAGATAGACCAGAGGTATACAAGAGATAGACCAGAGATAGACCAGAGGTATACAAGAGATAGACCAGAGATAGACCAGAGGTATACAAGAGATAGACCAGAGATAGACCAGAGATAGACCAGAGGTAGACCAGAGTTAGACTAGAGTTAGACCAGAGGGAGACCAGAGATAGACCAGAGATAGACCAGAGATAGACCAGTGATAGACCAGAGGTAGAACAGAGGTAGACCAGAGATAGACCAGAGTTAGACCAGAGAAAGACTAGAGTTAGACCAGAGAAAGACTAGAGTTAGACCAGAGGTAGACCAGAGATAGACTAGAGTTAGACTAGAGTTAGACCTGAGATAGACCAGAGTTAAACTAGAGTTAGACTAGAGTTAGACCAGAGTTAGACTAGAGTTAGACCCGAGATAGACCAGAGTTAGACCAGAGTTAAACTAGAGTTAGACCTGAGATAGACCAGAGTTAAACTAGAGTTAGACTAGAGTTAGATCAAAGATAGACCAGAGGTAGACCTGGGTTAACCTGTCCAACAGGAACACCTTTTTCTACTGGTCCTGTTTGGAGCTGTGCTCCCATTGGTCCATACCTGTCCTTGGTTCAGCACCATGATACGGTCAGAGGATAGGACAGTGTGGAGACGATGAGTGACGGTCAGAGTGGTGCAGTCCTGAAACGATGTCCTGATGGTCTCCTGGATCAGAGCATCTGTTTCTGCATCCATTGCTGCTGTAGCCTCATCCAAAACTAGCACCTGAGCCCAAAATTAACCAATCAAAGCAGAGGGGACAGGAAAAAGCAAAGGACAGGTGTGTCTCTCAGTTTGTCTCTCACCTTGCATTGTCTCAGCAGAGCTCTGGCCACACACAGAAGCTGCCTTTCTCCCACTGAAAAGTTCTCCCCATTTTCCATCACCTCCGACTCCAACCTCTGAGGCATCTGGGACACCTAAGAATGAGACAGGTGGAYGGTTAGTTGGACATAGAAAATGGATCTTTCTTTGGACAGAGCCTCTTATTATTATCTACAGTAGATGAACTCACACTGTCCTTCATGTGGCTCCTCTCCAGAGCATCCCAGATCTTCTCTTCACTGTACTGGTTGAGAGGGTCCAGATTGGACCTGCAGACACACAAACACTGATCTGATCTGAGGTCCGATGAAGCTCTAGGTGTAAGGGTCTTCTCAGGTGTTCATACCTGATTGTCCCGTTGAAAAGCACTGGGTCCTGCGGGATGATGGACAGCTTGCTACGCAGGTCGGCCAATCCGATGTCGCTGGTGTCAATGTCGTCGATCAGGATAGAGCCTCCGCAGCGCTCAACCAGCCGGAACAAGACCACGCCCAGAGAGGACTTCCCTGAAGGGTCAGATGGACAAGAAGTACAGAAGTTACCGAAAATATCTTGATTATTATGTTCTGGTTTAAAGAAAGACAAATCGATTAGCAGTGGTGGGTACAGTTCTGCTAACCAGCTAACAGTTCTGCTAACCAGCTAACAGTTCTGCTAACCAGCTAATAGATAATTTGCCGTGGTGGGCACAGTTCTGCTAAACAGTTAACAATGCTGCTAACCAGCTAACAACTAATTAGCAGTGGTAGGCACAGTTCTGCTAACCAGCTAACAGTTCTGCTAACCAGCTAACAGCTAATTAAAAGTGGTGGGCACAGTTCTGCTAACCAGCTAACAGTCCTGCCATCCAGCCAACAGCTAATTAGCCATGGTGGGCACAGTTCTGCTAACCAGCTAATGGCTAATTAGCAACGGTGGGCATAGTTCTGCCAACCAGTGAACAGCTAATAGTAGAACTATGTTTTTGTGTAGCAGATTATATTCTTCATTAACTTTGAAAAACATTAGTGAACCAGTTAGCTTCCATTAAATTAGGTTTAGGTCTGCAAACAGCTAACAAGCTAACATCACTAATCTTCAGCTCGTAGGAGACGAAGTTGCGTGACGCAGACTGAGTGACAGACATCTTAGCTGCTAGCAATTAGCTGTTAGTGTTAGCTTCCACTAATTTTTTTTTTTTCATGTTCAGCAGTTTAGTGTTAGTGAAGCTTTACTTTTAGTTAGTGAATTTTAAATTAGCAAAGCTAACTTTTTGGTTGATTTCATGTGCAGTTACGGTATTCCACCACTAGAAGGCAGCAGAGCAACTTTCTTCCCACCTGACCCGGTTCTACCCACGATGCCGACCTTCTCCTTCGACCGGATGGTACAGGAAATTTTGTTCAGAACCAGAGGGAGGTTCTCCTGGTACCTCATCTCCACATCCCTGAACACCAGCTGCCCCTGCTGGGGCCAGTCAGGAGGCGGGGAGCGACCTCTGACCCGGGCCGGGGCCTCCTGTGACAGAGACTGAGACACACAGAACAAGTCAGAACCAGAATCTGGTTCTGCTGAGGCCAGCAGAAATTACAGAACAAAATTAAACCAAGGAAAATGTCTTCCTCTCAGACATGAAGGTTCTGGGTTCAGGTCTTTCACAGTCCAGAACTACCAGCAGGACCAGAGAGTCTCAATACCTGGATGTAGTGGTGGATTCTCTCCACAGAGGTGAAGCGGGCTTCGGTCTCAGAGGCCAGACGGACCGTGAACTGGAACAGACCTGTGAGCTGAAGAACACAAACATTAAGAGTCCACTTCGTGTTCCAGTAAAACAAGTCTCTTCCAGTCCAGTCCGGTCTGGTCTGGTTCGAGTTCCACACAGGCTGGTCTGAGTTACCTGCACGGCGTAGGAGATGGCGAGCCCAGCATAGGCAGGGGGGATCTTCCCATGCATCAGGACCATCATGAGGGCCGTGGTGCTGATCAGAGCCACGCTGATGACGTCTAGACGCACCGCCAGCCAACGCATCGCACAGCTGAACAGGTAGAATGGAGCCTGGTTCTGATCCAGCAAAAACTGGTATCTGAAACAACAGAGGACAGCGTTCAGGCCTCGGATCTGGACTTCATGGTTGCGTGGTTGCAGTGAGGCCCTGACCTGTGCAGGAAGTCCTGACCCCTGTCGTAAGCCTGCAGTGTAGTCAGGCCCTGGATGCTGGAGGTGATGTGGGACATGAAGGGGGACATGGTCATGTTGTCCAAACGCTTCAGCTCTCGAATGAGGACCTTTGAGATGCTGTGCAGCACAGAGAAGAGTAGAACCAGAGGACCCACAGCGACCAGGAACCACGGGAAAACCCAGCTGATGACTCCGAGGCAGAAGAAGACCAGGATCACGTTCTGGATGAGCATCTCTGCCTGGAAGGGCAGACGGGTGTCGACTGGAAGGAGACAGAGAAGTCAAGGCTCCTTTAGATATTAAACAGGTTGCGGTCCAGTCTGGTCAGGTCCAGTCTGGTCCGGTAAGATTACCTTCATCCATGTCCTTGGAGAAACGGTTCAGGATGCGTCCAGTTGGGGTCGTATCAAAGAACTTCATGGGGCAACGGATGATCTTATGGAAGAGTTGGTCATGGAGCTTAGAGGAAGCACGCAGAGTTCCCTAAAAGAGAAGAACCATAAAAAAGGTTCTACTGGTGTCTCTGAGAGACCACCTGAGCAAATCTGACCCACCTGGACCCAAAGATCAGACTGACCTTAACGAAGGCTATTCCTCTGAGGAGTTTGAAGAGCAGCATGACGCCCATGGAGGAGGCATAGACGGCGGCGTACTGTTGCATCCTGGGATTGTCCTTCATGCTGATGCTCACGGCCGAGCTGTTGCCCATGTTTACTGTGGTGTTCTGGTAGAACAGAGGAGATGATGATGATGATGATGATAATGATGATGATGATGATGATGATGATGATGTGGTGTTCTCAGGTGACTCACCCCGCTGCCCTGGTTGATCCAGTAGCTGAGCCACCAGTGGCAGAAAGCGGAACTCCCCACGTTCAGAACAAACAGCACCAGGATAAGCAGGCAGGGGGTGGAGCCTCCGCACGACTTCATGTAAACACGAAACACGGGCCAAGCCACGCCCCCATATTGCTGCTCCTCCCCTTCAGCGTCACATGACCRGAAAAACAGAACATGATCAGATAAATGGAGGCCGATGTCTCAGAGCATCGTTTGAATACAGACAAAGGTTACCGTTGTCTTTGATGACYGGCGTGGTCTTCTTCACGGATCCTGGTTTAGCGTCCGCTGGTTTTCGCTGAGAACCGCCGTTCTTCCTGCTGGGAACCTGCGGGATAAAGAGACACTTAGACGGACAAACAGAAAGACAAATGGACAAAAAGACGGAACCGTACCTCGATGTACGGCGAGTCTCCCAGCTGGAAGTGGTTGAACATTGCTGCGTAGTCTCCATTCAGCTTCATCAGGCTGTCGTGGTTACCCTGCTCCACGATGCTCCCTTCCTTCATCAGGATGACGTCATCACAGTCCACCAAGTACTGCACACCAGCGCAAAGGTTATCACTGTGGCCACAGCCTGCGGCAGAGCACCGCACCTGTCCCGGCGAGGCTCACCTGCAGCTGGTGGGTGACGAAGATGATGGTCTTGTTGCAAAGCTGCTTCTTGATGGCATTGCGAAARATGTGGTTGGCCACGCGGGGGTCAAGAGCGCTCAGAGGGTCGTCCAGGATGTAGACGTCCCGGTCGCTGTAGAGGGCTCGGGCTAGGCTGATCCGCTGCCGCTGCCCGCCGCTAAGATTGGCGCCGCGCTCCCCAATCTGACCAAAGACAAATGGGAGCGAAACATCACATCAGCCCCAAACTCAGGGTTACCACTAAAACTCCAGAGTCCTCAGTCCAGGGACATGGGTCCTGGTGGTACCCTAATCCAGACCACCAACCTCAGGCCTGTTTGAGACCAAGGTTGACCACRTTTTAGTTTTTATCTGTCTCCTGTACTGATGTTTCGTCTCATCACATTCATCCAACAAAGGTCTGAGAACCACTGCAGAACCTATACCCTAAGAAGAGGACGGACCATTTACAGCAGTGGTGTCCAAAGTCAGTCCTYGAGGGYCAGTGTCCTGCATATTTTAAGAGCTGCCCTGGTTCAATGACCTCTGCAGACCTTGATGGCATACTGAAGAGGCCTACTAATTAGGCACTCATTAGGTTCAGCTGTGTTGAACCAGAGCAGCACCTAAAACATGCAGGACACCCACCCTTGAGGACCGACTTCAAACGCCACTGGTTTACASAGACAGAAACAGGAAGTGATGTCACCTCTGTGAGGTCAGCGTTGGGCAGCAGGTTCAGGTCCGGTCGAAGACAGCAAGCGCTGAGGACTGACTGAAACCTGTCAGGACGGAGGGAAACACTTTAGTCTACCTSAGAACCTGTCCTCCTGAGGTGTCTCCGAGCCATCTCTACCTGTCCTCCTGGTACTCCTGTCCAAACAGGATGTTGTCTCTCAGTGTTGCATTCAGGATCCATGCCTGCTGAGCCACGTAGGCCATCCTTCCTCTGACGGCCACGGTACCYTCCAGCACCGTCATCTGTCAAAGCAACAATCAGAAATCAAACCTGTCCACCAGCTGAAGAATCCGGGGGACCTCAGGTGGTCTAACCTGTCCCAGAATGGCTGAGATTAGGGAGGTTTTTCCACTTCCGACACTCCCACACACACCCAGCAGCTTCCCCTGGACAGAAACATGGGTGGGCAAGAGGGGTGGACAGATAGACAAAGAGAAACCTTAAGTATATTCAGTAAAACTCTGGGGTTCTGGTCTATGAACTGGATTAGTGGATCCACCTGTTGGACGCTCAGGTCGATGCAGTGCAAGGTGCTCTGAAGATGCTGAGAGACGGGAGGGACAGCCAGGAGAGGGGGACAGCTATTCTCCTCCACATCTTCTTCCTCAGGACTAAAGACCTGCTCTGCTCCTCCCAGCAGAGAGCCAGTCACCTCTTCCTGTTCCTCCTCATCCTGAAGGACACCTGCGTCCCTACACCTGGACACCAGASYAAACCGAACCAAATAATCACAAAACTCCACAATGAAAACATCAAATTCAGAAACTGTCGGAGTTTACTTGTCTCTCTGTCKGTGTCTCCTGGTTACTCTGATGTAKGGACTGGACTGAGTGCTCTGTCCAAGCCCCTCCCACCCCAGAGATGCACCTCGCATCTCCACGGCTACCTGAGGGTCGCTGGGTGACTCCCGGAGACTGGCAACCTCCGGCAACAAGAAGAGACTCTGGGGACAGAGACAGACAGAGACGGGTCAGTTAGACCTTAAAGACATGCAACAGAGCCTCAGCTCTGCACCTGTCCATCTCTTTCTCCATGCTACAGGTGTGTTCCAGGTGTGTTGCAGGTGTGTTACAGGTGTGTTCCAGGTGTGTTTCAGGTGTGTTCCAAGTGTGTTCCAGGTGTGTTTCAGGTGTGTTCAAGGTGTGTTCAAGGTGTGTTCCCGGTGTGTTTCAGGTGTGTTCTAGGTGTGTTCTAGGTGTGTTGCAGGTGTGTTCCAGGTGTGTTCCAGGTGTGTTCCAGGTGTGTTTGAGGTGTGTTCCAGGTGTGTTTGAGGTGTGTTGCAGGTGTGTTGCAGGTGTGTTCCAGGTGTGTTGCAGGTGTGTTCCAGGTGTGTTGCAGGTGTGTTGCAGGTGTGTTCCAGGTGTCCTGGTTAGTACCTTAAATCTCTCCACAGCCACGGAGCCTTCCGACAGAGACTTAACAGAAAATGGGGTCACTTTCAGGGCGAAGGTCATGGCGTTGAACACTGTCACCACAGTGAAGGCCTGAAGGAGGGGGCGGAGTCAACAGGTGGGTTAACAGGTAAACCAACAGTAGCAATATTAAGAGGACTGAGTGCTTAAAAGTTGTTACCTGGGCTGCAGTCAGGTCATATCCCAGCAACATGTGGGTGGAGAACGTTGCCACGCTAGCAATGACGACCACGATTGGAGCCACGCCCACCGTAATGCTCTGGAAGTAACCTGTGAGCTCCAGTAACCTCCGCTCCTCGCCACGGATYCCTGACAGAAACACAAATGTCAGTGAGCACCTGTGCTACTGTGGTAACGTCTAGCTCAGGTGAACATGGGTTACCGTACTTTGAACGTCCTGAGAGAAGGCTTTGACCCAAGCATACATCTTGATGAACTTGATGTAGCTGAGGATCTCGTTCATCTTCTGCACACGCCTGTCGGTGACACCTACAACTTTCCTCCTGAAGAACGCCGTCATTCTGGAGCTGAACATCTGAGAACCAAGACAAACCATGAAGAACCAACAAACATCATAGAGGACTAACAACACCATGAAGAACCAACAACACCATGAACAACAACACAAACCATAAAGAACCAACAAAGAACATGAAGAACCAACAAAGAACATGAAGAACCAACAAACACCAAGAAGAACCAACAACTCCATGAAGAACCAACACAAACCATAAAGAACCAACACAAACCACGAAGAACCAACAAACATCATAGAGGACTAACAACACCATGAAGAACCAACAAAGAAAATGAAGAACCAACAAACACCATGAAGAACCAACAACAMCATGAAGAACAACACAAACCATAAAGAACCAACAAAGAACATGAAGAACCAACAAACACCATGAAGAACCAACAACTCCATGAAGAACCAACACAAACCATAAAGAACCAACACAAACCACGAAGAACCAACACAAACCATGAAGAACCAAGACATGCCATAAAGAACCAACACAAACCATGAAGAACCAACACAAACCAT